ATGGCCCATGCCTGTTGTGAGCTTCGAGATGCAAGTGAAGCATATTCCAAAGAAAGGTACAAAACTGTCCTCTTACCTTCAACAAGCTGGCTTTAACGATGAAGCATATATTTTACAGCACCACATGTATTATCAAATTTGAGGAAAATATGCTAATTTTACAATTCTGCAACCACCAAAATTTGAAGGTTCTTTCTTTCTTTAGAGTTCAGAGGATTCATCTCTTAGGCAATTCTTTAACAAAGGTTAGGCCAAAAGGAACATAAGCAAGGGTTTCAATCCAATCAAAGGCTCTCTCCCTTTTGCCTTCTTCATGTCTTCAATTCCAATTGATTTATGCTCTAGGTATATGGTACAGAACAGAAAAAATGAGGATATTATAAAATTAATTGCTCAAAAATTTGAACATCATTCCTTGTTTATGACTTCTGTACATATGGTTAGGTTCAAATTCTAACTCTGACGTTAGCATGTGTCACAGTAAGTTTTAAAGATAGCCTTACCTATACGAAGCATTGCAAAATACTTAACGGCTTAAGGTATTAACACTTACAGATTCAATCACAGAAACATTTGGGTGAAGAGAAAGAATACCATTGAACAACCTTGGAATTAGTGCTAGTTGGGACAATGCACATGTTTCCACATGACAAGGAATTTTTAGCTGTGTCCTAATGCCCCTTTTCTTACTGAAACTCTTTCTTTGGAAAATGTTATGCTTTTAGGTCCCTTTCAGGCTTTGACAGGGTCAGACGCGAGTATCTTGTCTTGCGGGAGAATCTGAATCAAATTCTTCAGGTAATACTTATTCTGAACTTTGATCTTTCTCAGCTTTACTTTGTAGATATGTTTCTTTGTCTTTTTTCACATACTGTAGCAAATATATAGATGTATACAGAGGTCATGTATGTTAAACAATAAAGAGTACATGCTAACAAAAGAATAACCGAAGTTTTGGACTTTCTAACAACTTATGAAGATGCCATATTTTTGTTGTTCTACTGACTGCAGAAGGGAAAAAAATGGATTGATCATTTCTAGAACAAAAACCCTATATTAGTAGAACACTTTCTGTGGTGATTTTCCTTCATTTGAAATGCTCTAGTATGCAGATTTTTATCCAACATTTTTTTTTCTTTCTCAAAAACTATTCTGAAAACATACTGGGTTACAGATGGAACATGCAATTAGCGCGTTTGAGCCCAGAAGGTGCCGTCAGTAGAGAGGCCGTTTGTTCAGTCTGCTAGCTTTTCTCCAGAGGATCAGATCATGTGGTATAGTAGCTGTATACTAATGTTTATTACAGGAACTTGGTATCTTTTGTAGACCGGTTTATGACTAGTTTTGTGGTGTATGAAGCGAATATAGTTGAGACTGACTGTCTGTTTTATGTTGTGATATAAAGTTGGGACTTCATTAGTTCATTTGGTATCGCCTTAAAGTTTGCTCTCTTATAAATACATTTGACTGCTAGTGGATAAAAAAAATCCTTACAGCAAAAATTCTAGTATTTACCATGACAGAGATAGAAGCTGTGTCATTATCTTATAAAGGGAAAAAGAGTGTTGAATGTATACGATGATTTTATTACTCCCATTTTCACTATCGATGAAAGGGATCATCAGCTGATTTCACTATCGAAATTATAAAAAGACCCCGAAAGGAGAAAACTTTGGTGGGAACTTCCCTCCAAACGAACATTCAAATATTTCTTTATATTTTTATGAAATCCAAATATCTTCTTTTTAAAATATTAGGGGAGAGGGAAATCGAACCTAAGATCTAAGAGGCAGGGACAAATGCTTTTAATCACTACTTGAGTTATAGGCTCATAGCGATACGTTATTCGAGCCCAACACGAAGCCCTTAGTTTAGGCTCGAGTCATTCTACGGTGAGGGTCTTATCTAAGGCCCTTAGATGAGGTCCTATCTCTTAACCGTTTGATCAAATTGGTAAATTAACAAATTTGATCTAATGGCTAATTAATTTGATCCAACAATTAAGAGATAGAGCCTCATTCACTATAGAATTCTCAGTTCGGGTTCAGCATTTGAATTTATAACTTGATTAGAATTAAACAACTAAACTCAGTCAGATTGCCCAAATTGAACAAGTTGGGCTAGAAGATTAGGTTTAACCTTAACCTGTAAGGCGTTTGAGCCCCCAAGTTCAACCCACAAGCTCAATCCCCAATAAAACCGAAAAGGGAAAACAAATGACTGAGAGAAATGTAAATAAGTTAGGCTGCATGCGTCGTACAATCAAACACTAAAACATGAAGAAAGGAGCCAAGCGAAAATCATGAAGTTCATGATGAAGTTATGAAGAAATAAAGTACATGCAAAGCTCATGCCACTTAAAGACTCATATGCATGTTATATGTAGCATGAAAACAACACACAGTACAGTAGGCTATATATAACCATGCTGCCATGCATACATATTCCAGCCAGAGGTTTCATTTCTCTCTTTTGCAATTGCCTTTCTTCCTCGTTTTACTTTGATCTCTCTCTCTCTCTCTCTCTCTCTCTCTCTCTCTCTCTCTGAGGAAAATGGCTGGGAGGACGGACGTTGCCGAACAGCTCAAGGAACTCATCTCTTCCTTGAAAGAACAGGTCAGCTCACCCCCATTAATATCTTTGTTCATCAGTTGCTTTGCTTATCTTACTTTCCTCTTTTCAAATCCTAGTTTTTTTGAAGTTTTTTTTGGAGGACTTATGTTTGGAGAAAAATAAGGCTGGTTTTGTCATTTTTGCAAGATTATATTGATGAAATTTCAGATAATCTTAGTTTCTCAGAGTATATAGATCCTCTCTCTCTCTCTCTCTCTCTCTCTTATCAGTTATCAGTTAC